AAAAAAAAGAAGTGAAATTAAAAACAAGAAATGTGTTGTAATTTTAGCTAGCTTTCTGTTTCGCGTTTTGATTTCTTTAGCTTTTCCCTGACTGGGCTAATCGAAAGCCGTTTTGACATATGTTAGTGTAGCGTTAGCTTTGTTGGAGGAAATTCGTTTTCAACTAGGTGGGATAGATCGTTTATTTGAATGCGGCTACAATTATGGCAGGCGTGAAAAGTTAAATCTGATCTCACCGTCTAACGCCACTTCAAGGAAAATAGCACAGAGGCCATTTAATTCCACCGCTGTTCCTCCCCATAATACGAAAGGAACAACCAACTTACCACATTCTTCAGAACAAAATTGCTCTTTACTTAGTTCAGTCAACATGATAACGATTGATAACTGCTCCTTGACTTTCTCAGGATAAATGCTAAATTTCGTGACAGACAGAGAAACACACACCATGCATAAAGACAACTTATATATAGTTTTAACATGAGCTCCATATTACTCCGAGCTATCCCATATTGTAGGCGGAGAAAGAAGACTTTACCTCTTGTCAGTGCTATGGATGCTAGATTGTTACGGAGGATTCAAAAGAAACGAGACGAATTTGCACGTTTACCGCACACCTCTTCTCTGAAAAGGGCTATGCGTGAAAGCTACTTCCTTCACATCTACCATACAGTAGCGATAGAAGGAAATACGCTATCACTTGGACAGACACGGTAATTTCTTGCTTATCCCTTCAAACGCCATATCTATTTTGCAAGATGATCCAAGAGAAAGAGTTCTTTCGTATTGCGATATGGTGTTGTGAATTTATTTTGTAGCTCGATTCTGGAATCTGGCGTGGCTGTTGCCGGAAAGAGTATCCATGAACACAACGAGGTTATTGGAATGGATGCAGCACTAAGATTTCTCAATCATTCTCTTCTCCATATGAATGAGATCACTTTAGATGTAAGTTGACTCTTCGTGCATGCAGTAGAGTGGTGTACTCCATATTTGGCTAATCCCATTTAGGACATATTGGAAATGCACAGGAGAGTGTTGGGAAACGCTAATCCTATCGATGCAGGACATATACGAAAAACTCAGGTATGTTGTAATTTGTCTAAAGCTGTTTGCTCGATCTACTTTAGCGTACGTTAGGTTTTTGTTGGCCACTTTACGCCAGTAGGACCCGAATACGTTAGAGAGCAATTGGATGAGCTTGTTGACTGGCTTAGAGATTCTTCAACAATGGAAATGGACCCAGTTGAGAGAGCTGCCATTGCTCACTACAGGCTTGTAAGCTTCAGATATTGTTCCCTTTATTCTCGTTGACCAATGCCCTTAGTTTTTTTTTTGCTAATTATGATTGACTCTATTTGATATAGGTTGTAATTCATCCGTTTGTGGACGGCAATGGACGTACAGCGCGTCTTCTCTTAAACTTGATTCTTATGAGGGCTGGCTTTCCACCCGTTATATTACCGGTGGAGTCGCGAGCTGAGTACTACGCAACCTTGCATACAGCCAATCTCGGAGATTTGCGTCCTTTTGTGAGATACGTGGCACGTTACACAGAGAACACTTTACAGGTAG